AGCAGCTTGTAGGACACCCCATCATCCCAGCATGTGGGGCCCCCAGGTAATCTCCTCTTCCTTTTGCAGTATTTTTAGTGTCCCTCTAGGTGAGCTCTGCTCACAGGGGAGAACCTCTGCACCATGAGTGTCTGCCAGCTCTCACCTCTGCCTTGTGTGCCTCACGGAGCAGGAGGGAGGAGGGAGAAAAAAGCCTTTGGAGAACTTGGGAGAGGGGGCATGGTGGGGCTGGCAGCTGGCACGGAGCTGCTGAGCAGAGCCAGGCTGTGCAGGGATCGCTCAGGATGGCCAGGCTCAGCAGCTCCCCAGCTTTCCAGCAGGCTCAGGTGCCATCGAGCTGCAGGAGGGAGCTGTGGTGCCCAGAGCCATCCCACACACAGCTGGGACAGGAGGGCAGCTCAGGGATGCTGCTGCTGCTGCTGCAGGGAGTTGAAGTTTTTCACAGGAGGGATAAAGTTCTGGAATGTCCTGCCCAGGGAGGTGGTGCAGTCCCCATCCCTGGGTGTGCTTAACAAAGCCTGGATGTGGCACTGGGTGCCAGGGTTGAGTTGAGGTGCTGGGGCTGGGTTGGAATCCATGATCTGGAAGGTCTCTTCCAACCCAGTGACTCTGTGAGTTCTGTGTGAATCTGGGAGCAGTGCTGGAGCTGGGAGCTGCTGGCTGCCAGACTTTGGGGACAAACCAAGGGATCTGGTCACTGCTGCGCTGGCACAGAGCGAGGAGAGGCTTGTTTTGAAACACACCAGCCATTTTAGCAAAGAGGCATGTGCTTTTTAGGTCAGTGAGCCTCATCAGGGCTGAAACAGCTTTGCCCTGGCCAGAGCTGCTGATTCTGCCATCTCAGCTCCCACGGTGGGATGCTGGGCAGGGCAGGGCAGCCTGACATGGCATGTTCAGCTCTGGTAGCAAAGCACAGGTGGACAGAGATTTCAGGTGTCTTTACAAAGCTTGCTTTTCCTTGGGATGGAAAAGGGGAGAACAAGGGGAGGCATGCAATTTCTAGTCATATCCACTCTTCAAAAGCCCTCTTTGTCCTGTCCCAGCCTCTGTTTTTTAAACAATGAATTCCAGGTTCATGCTGAACACTCTCCAAAGTGCAATGCAGAGAGTTCCTGGTGAGGAGTGGTATCTCCCTACTTCCAGCCTCACCTCTTCTCCCCCAGCAGGCACCAGATGAAGCAGGAGGTTGCACAGGGTGGCCTGGCACATGTGTGCCACTTCAGTGTGGGTTCTGCCTTCTACCCCAGTGCTGGTTAACTTGGCAGGGTGAGCTGGGAGCTCCCCACAAAGCTCTCCCATCCTTGCCCCAGCTGTGATGGCCACAGCCAGACTCTGGCCGTGCCTGAGCACTTTATGGTCCTCCACAAAGAGCCAGTGGGATCCAGCATTTGGAAGCATTTTTGTTGCTGCTGGAGCTGCACTGGTGCAGGGGGGAGAGGATCTAGGCTGCCAGTTTAGAGCCAAGGGCAAAGTCAGATTTTCCTGCACCTCTCATTTGCTCCTCCCGCAGCACCAGTGGAGAACTCTGCTCACTGGGTGTGTGTGCAGAGGGAAAACCCCTCACCCACCCCTTGCACAGGCAGCAGGGAGATCCAGCTGTGTTGTCCCACCAAAGTGCCTCCGTGGTGAGGTGGCAGGAGGAGCTGGAGGGGTGTGTGGGCTCCAGGTGTGTTTGAATTCATGGTTCTTCACTGAACCTGGTAAATTGGCCAACTGCTGTCAGCTGGTGATTCTGGGAAACCCAGCTCGTGTAATATCTGTGGCATCAGCAGGCTTGTGAGTGTCATGGATTAGTGGGAGGTTTGGGAAAGCCTCATATTAGCCCAGTGACAGATAAAACCCCACAACAAAGGCATCGTCATCCGAGGCTTGGAGGAAAATCGAGCTCATTACTTGTGATTCCTGAACCCATGAACCCCTGCATGCCTTGGCTCCATCTGGCCATTCTGCTTCTGCAGAACAATTCACCCTTGGCCGTTATTGAGTGTGCCTCTGGAAGGAAGGCTGTGATTAAGGTCCCAGCAGCTCTGGAGCCTGGCCAGGATGTGATGTTAGGGTGGCACATGGGTACTCCATAACTGCCTGGCCAGGAAATGGGGGATTAAGGGGAAGGCAAGCTCACTTCTCTCTGCTTCCTATCCTGGATTCTGCTCTCTCCCTTGTGGAGGGGCCCTGCCAGTGCTGCCTCCAGCCCCCAGCTGTGCCTGCCCTATCCCTCTTCCCCATAGCTTGGTTCTGTCCATCCCATGTCAGTGCCCTTGTCCCTCTGGGGAGGGCTCGCCACTGTGGGGTGGACACCTGCTCTTCCTTCTGCCCAGAAATCCTGCCTGCTGTTCAGCAATCTGAAGAGAGCAGTGGAACAAGAAGTGGAGCACAGGAACCAGCAGAGAGGGAGGCTGAGGGAAATCTGAGGCACTGCATGAGCCATGGTTATCATGCCATGGTTATCAAGTGCTCACCTCCGTCATGCTGCCCAGAGAAATCTGTGCCAGGGAACCCAGGAGCGTTGGAGAACAGAGCTCAGCCCTGGGCTGGGCTGGCTGTTCTTCCCCAGGAAGGTCTCTGCACCTGAAGAACATCATCTAGCTGATGGCTAGGGCGTAGGCTTTTCTGTCAGCACCCCTCTGAGCTTGTTCCCATCAGCCCTGGGAACACAGAGGATGTGTTTTAGAAAGTGCATTGCTCACTTTGTAAGCAGCTTGCCCTTTTTGTCTCCTGGAGATCAGTGCCACCTCTTGCCTGCTCTGCTTGAAGGCTGGCAGGAGCCTGCAGTGACAGCAGGGTGGCCTGGTTAGGGGTGAGGTGTTGCAGGGCTCTGTCAAGGATTAGGAAAATGCAGGTCAGTGAAGGAGCTTGCCAAGATGTGCGGGTGGAGTTCTCAAAGGGGGCAATGGGAAGGATGCCTCTCTAGCCAAGTGTCCCACAGGCAGGGGATGACTGTTACCAACAGGAGCAAGAGGCTTCAGGAATTTGGGTGCTCTGCTCCTCTGTGCTCTCACTGCAGTGCAGCCCCAAGCACCCTGGGAGGGATTCTGGGGACAGCATCTTCCTTTGCAGGGTCCTGACCAGAATGAGAATCTTTGTGCCCCAGAGAGATGGACTGTGAGGCCTCTGAGGCAGGAGTTTACAGTCCTTTAAAAAGCAGAGCAAAACAGTTCCTTGGCCAGAAAGCTGTCACTGTGCCTTTGTTCCTCTCAAGGCAGCACAGAAAGTGACAGATACAGCTCTGTCTCTGGTGTACTCCGCACATTTACACCGTGACCTTTCCGATGTGCATGTGGGGCTGGATTTCTGAATCATAGTTAGATACCCAAAAGCTGGCATTATCCGTGATGTGGGATTATTTGAGCTTGTTTTCAGAGGTGTTAATCAAACCTGGCTTTGAATGAAGGCTGTGGGAGAAGACAGGCAGGCAGATGCCTCAGTGCTCAGCCCAGATGTTGGTGCATGAGCAAGCTCCTCACCAGCTCCTCGCACAGAGCTGGGATTTGCAGAGCAGAAAGGCTCATCCTGCAAATTCATGTGGTCAAGGGGATTCCTGTGGCACTCTAGAGACAGCTTGAGAAGAGACAATATGTCTGTGATCCCACCATTTCTAGATCATTTGCAAAAATGCTTTTTATTTAAGGACTTGGGGAAAAATCTCTGACTTCTGTAAGATCACTGTCAACAGGACTTATGCCCACTTCCTAATCAACAGCTTATTATTTTAAGGCTACCTGGTTTGCCCCAAAAATCCTGTCCCCCAGCCTATTTAGGACCTGTCATGAGAATGTTTCCTGAGAATGTTTCCTGACACTGGTGTGTACAAGACTGCTTCCTGTACTGCTTGTTTACCTGAGGAGAAGAAACTGTTCTATTATGTGGCACCATCCTGTGCCTCTGAACAGGCTGATCCAGGGCCTCTGGACGTGCCCAGCAATGGGTTTGGTTTCTGCAGAGCTGCAGCCACCAACAGCTCCCGCTCCCTTCCATAAAATTCTTGTGTTAGCAACCGTTTTAAGTGTCAGCTTTTCTCTATTGGACAGGAGGGGAGCAGGAGGTTTGCATGGCATTGTGCTAGCTGGGGATGGTTTGGGAATCACAGAATTATTTAGGCTGGCTAAGCCTCTAAGATTGAGTTCCACCTGTGACTGGCCCCTCCTTTATCAGCCAGACCATGGCCCTGAATGCCTCATCCAGTTGTTCCTTGGACACCTCCAGGGATGGGGACTCCACCACCTCCCTAGGCACGCCATTCCAATGTTTCACAGCCCTTTCCATGAATAATTTCCTCCTGATGTCCAAATTTAAGGGGAATTTTTCAGGGAACTGCCCCTTTACCAGTGGATCATGCTCCACTGATGACAGATTTCCTCCCCGTATGTCCCTTCCTGAGACCCACCATGAACTCCCGACTCAGCTCCTGTAACGAGGCAAGTGCTCAGAGCTTGTCACAGTTGCCCTGGCCTGACCTTGAAACCTTGGCCTCAGGTGAGGCCCTCCCTGTGCATTTGGAACAGCCTCAGCTTCTGCTGAGAACAAAATTGGCTTTTACCAACTAACGAGCAGTGCCTGGACACGGGTGGATTTCATTTATGTGACCTTTGTGTGAGGGAAGTGGGGGACAACCCTGGAAGTCTTTGCTGGTGGCTGTTGGCTGACACCTTTGGTGCTCCTGTAGCCTGGACTGCTGCTGGTGGTGGAGGAAAGCTCTCAGCAGGCTGGGACAGCAGGAGTGGGAGGCAGTTTTGCTTGATTGGAAACACAAGTGGCAAGGACAGGGGAAATGGGACAAAATGTAATGGCGTTTTGCTCCCATTTTCACAGAACAAATCATAGCACACACCCCTCCAAAATAACCAAAAAAAGGAAAAAAACAACAACAAACAAACAAAAACAGAGTGCTGGAGGTGTGGACCCCACATGGGTGCCAAGGCATTCGAGTAGGTGTGGGCAGTGGTGGTGGAAGGGCTGGAGCTGCCGTTCCCCAGGCTGACGTGTGCCCGTTTCTCCGCCAGGATTACACCATCACCATGTACTTCCAGCAGAGCTGGCGGGACAAACGCCTGGCCTACAACGACCTTCCTCTCAACCTGACCCTGGACAACCGGGTGGCTGACCAGCTGTGGCTGCCTGACACCTACTTCCTGAACGACAAGAAGTCCTTTCTGCACGGGGTGACGGTGAAGAACCGCATGATTCGGCTCCATCCGGACGGGACCGTCCTGTACGGCCTCAGGTGAGTCCAAGGGTTTGCTTCCATGGATCCTGTCAAAAACAACACCTCATTTAAACTTCTCCCATCGCCAAAAATATTCTGGTAAGGCAAGGACCCAAAAGATACTCAAGTGCTACAGGGTTTTGTGTCACTGTTCTTTCTCCAAGCTGGAAATGGCTGCTTCTTTCAGGCCTCCAACATTTCCTGTGCTGCTATAGATGGATGTTGGAGAGGGGAATAGTCTGCTCTGGGCATTTCAGGTCACTGTCATTCATGTTGCATAACACTTCCATTTGAAACACTCACTTTCAGTTGCTTATAATTTTCTTCAAGTTTGGGCTATGGAGATGAGACTTTGTTACTGTGATATTGAAGACTAAATTTCTGTAGCCTTTTAGTCAAACCACTTCAGTCCTTTTTTGTGTTCAAGATAGATTTGTGTAAGGTTAAGGAAAACATCTGTTTACTAGAGCAATTCTGAGGATTGAGGCTTGGAAATTGATATCTGGTAGGAGAATGGTCCTCAGTGAGGACATTTTTTGTGGTGCCTGGAACAAATTGACATAGGCAAGTCTAAGGCCTTTGAAATTGCTGTGCTTGTGTGAAGTGGAGTGAGAAAAGGTTGGTCTTACTCTGTTATCTGGGTATGTGAAGGGGCCAGGGTAGGTAATAAAGTTGAATGGAGAAGCAGAGGGCAAAAAGGCAAATTGAAGCTGCAGGGTGCTGTAGCTGAAATCCAGGAAATTATTTTTCCAACCCTGTATTTGTTTGCTTTATTCTCAGTATTTCTTTTTGTTTGGGTTTTTTTTGTATTGTTGTTAGGTTTGTTTGGTGAGGAATTTTTATTTTTGTTTTTTATTTTTTTCCTTTTCAATTACCAGAATTTACAGCTGGCTCTTTTGACCTGCCTCCACAAATATTTGTGATAGCATCTCTGGGCTTTTGTCCCAGAGATGGAGGGAAGGGGGAAGGCAAGGGGAGAGGAAAGGGGGCCTTCAGGGAGGGTACACCCACCCTTCCCATTTACAGTATCAGCTCTTGTGCTCTGTTGTGTTCTGTGGCAAAGTGTGACTTGTAGGATTATTTTACACCTCTCTGAGTGGCAGGGCTGTTTTGGGGAGGGTAGGGCTGGGTGTAGGCATGGCAAAGCAGGAGGCTGCCCAGAACATCGTCCTGCCAAAGGTGGTTGTGCCCTCTGCTCTCCCTGCAGCAGAGCCCAGAGAAGCCAAAGGAGAAGCAGCCACTGCTGGTGCTGAGGGACAGCCTGGGGTCCCTGGGGTCATATCTGGGCTGGTTTTGCATTTCAATTAATGAATGCCTTCTGCTCCAGGCCCAGAGACAGCAAAAGGTGCAACAAACCCATCTTTGTGGCCCTGTCCCTGCTGTGCCCTCCCTTGCCAGGGCAGGTACATCCATCTCCCTCCCTTGGGCCACTGATGATGTTTGATGAAAGTGTCAGAGAGCCCCGAGCTGGCTTTGCTGACCCACCAGAGAGACTGCAGCAGTCCCACACTGACTGCCAGGATCTTCTCATTGTATTAAAACAGGAGTGAAGGCCAGGCAAGAAGGTGTTTTGCCTTGGAGGCAGGTAGGAGTATAAATTCAGGAAAGAGGGGGCAAAGACTGCTGCTGAGCTCAGGCTGCTCTCTGCTGCTGATCAGCCCACCTGAGCACAGAGCTGCCTCCTCCAGGCTGGTGGGCAATCTCTGCACACACCTGCACAGCAGAAGTACAAGTGCTGGTGTATTTTTATCAGCTGCCATTTAGTCAGCTCAAAGAACGAGCAGTGTGAACCTAGCAGCACAGCTGCCAGGCAGTGCAAACCCTTGGAGGGTTTGCTGGGGCTGGGACATTATGCCAGCTCCCTTCCCTTCCCCTCCCATTCCAGCTCCCTGGAATGACCTGTGCAAATGAGAGAGAAGAGGAAAATTGCACCCAGGCCAAAAGAAAGGAAATGACAGCTGTTTGCCCACTATTTCCAGGGCCTCAGTAAGAGCTGCCTCTGTTGGTTTAACTTTTGGCTGGTTTTCCTGGAAGCTGCTCCCTTGCCCCTGGAGAAAATGGCAATTGCAAAAGTGAAGCTCTGAGCAATGGCAGCTCCTGCTCCCAGCTGTACCTCAGGTCAGGATGGCTTGCTGAAAGCACTGGGGGTACAAACCAGGTGCTCTGACTGTTTGAAGGCTCTCTAACTTTGCTCACAGTGGTAGGAAAAGGATTTATTTGGGGCTGCTTTCTATACTGATTCCTGGACCTACAATCTTGCTGAAAACAGGAGTAGTAGGTCCAGTTTTTTCCAGGTGGAAATAAAGGTGATCCTCCTGAAAAATACACAGCAGGTGTAAGCAAGCAAGAAAACAGTCCCTGAATATTCACCTGAGCTCCCCTCCTCTCTGTAAATGTGCAGCCAGGCTTGCCCTGCCAACAGGGAGAGAAATGCAGGTCCACCCTGTGCTCTGCAGCCTGTTCTTGTCTTGTATTTTGTGGAGGAATTTATGAAATGGAGTCGCCCTGATAGCAGGGGGCCAAAGGAGGCAATACCCGATTCTTTTCCTTTGTTTTCCTTTTTTCCCCTGAGTAAGATCCCACATCTCCTGCTCCTCTCCCTTCTCGCCAGTCTCTTCCCCCTCCTCTGAGCTGGTCCTGTAGCAAAGTGACTCAATCATGCTATTTGTGGCACAACAGTCATTTTTTTCCAGCAGGCTCTGATGTCAGAGAGCAGGGAAGGATGACATCCTGGCAGGCCTCTGCCTTCAGCAAGTGTTCCAGGGACCAGCAGGACCAGGCTCAATCCCTGGACCAGACCCCAGGGTCCCAGTTAAGGCATACCCCAGTCATGAGGAGTTTGTGACTGTTGTGAGAACAAGAGCAGGCTCCAGATAACTTGTTTGCACAAGTAAATGAAGCCCTGTAATCCATTGTGAAAGCTGGGTGTCAGAAAAGCATATTCCTCTCGGTTTTGGTGGAATTAGCAAATTAATGGTTGAAGGAAGTGCAATCCAGCTCCATCTCAGGGAAGCGTTCCATACAAAAGCTTACTCCAAAATTAATTCCCACCGGGCTCACATTAATAGCTGGCTGCCAGGTCTCCAACAAAAGGAATGAATAAGCAGCAGCAGTGATGCTGGGATGCAGGACTGGTGTTTCCTACCCCTTCCCCAAGCAGCTGCCAGATGGCACAAACTCCAGAAGGCCAAACAGAGCCCTGAGCCAGCCCGGAGGGCAGTCCCAGCTCTGCAGGCACCCACGGGATGGAGGATGCAGGAGGTGTGACCTGCCACGGGGGTGCCTGCACTCACCCGGCCCTGAACACCTTGCTGGAGTGAGAAGTGACTGTGGAGCACAGGAGGGATGTTCACCCACGGTGTGACACAGGGGAGTGCTAAAATGGTGTGGAAATCCTGCAACAGAAAGGGAGGCTTGAAGGTGCTACCCACAAAGACAAAGCTGCTGGGTGGTGGAAGGAGGTGGATAAAACAGTGAGGAAAATCTGGATAGCACTGGCTGTATTTAATATATTTTGCCACCTAATGGCTATTTTTTTTTTTTTTTTGGTCAGAAATTGCATCAGTTCCATCAATTTTGAACAAAAAAATTAGGGAGAATTGTTTTCGTTTAAGAAAAACCATCTCAGCGAATGTTGATGTTTCACTGAGGTCAATATTTCCCTCACTCTTACAAGCTGCTTTACAATCACCATTGATATTTGAGTAACAGAATTACCAAGGCTTTCTCTGGACCTCCAGACACTGTCTGGAGCCCTGCCCCAATATTCAATAAGCTTTACATTATCACACATTCAAGCTATACATTGGTCTGGGATTTTTATTTCCTTGCCCAGACCATGCAGCATCCATTTGGTAGTGAAACGAGTCGACACTTGTCAAGTGCTGATGTCACCAGCATTTTGTTGTCTGTTTTCAGAGACCTAAAAATAACAACCACTGTAACAATGCTGAAATTCTCGTGTGGTAACTGGGGAATCGTATTTGAAACCAGCTTTAAAACATCCTTCAGGGAAATCTTGAAGCCATTTGTTTTGTTCTAATCAGAGGCGGAATTTTAGATTTTTGGATTTTTGTCGAAACAGGTGATTTGAGGAGGCCAGGCTGCATGCCTGGCTGGTGGGGAATCTGGGATGTTGGGAAGCAGGCAGGGAGCAGCATGGACGGTGCTGGCTGGCGAGGAGCCAGGCAGTGTAAACTGAGCAACTGGAAAACTGCAGAGGAATTTGGTGGTGGAGGCTAAATCCTGTGCGGAGGGAAGGAGGGATCTCCTCCTGCGAAGGTGGGGGTGGTGCTGGGGAACGTGTGCATGTGCGAGGTGGGGGTTTTTATTCCTGGCCTGGTGATGTAACGAGGTGTGCTTGAGGGATGAGTCAGTCCGGGAGCACGCAGAGGTGCCAAGGCACCGTGGGGCTCCAAGCCCAAGGAATGCTCTCCTGGGGAGGCAGAACCCTCTCATCAGTGTAAAACATCGCTTCAAGCAAGAGGGAGAGAATTGCCATGCTTCAAACACCTCAAATTGTTTTAAGCTGAGAGATGCTGGCTGTATCTGCTTTGGCAGCACCCCAGTTCTGCTCTCCATGGTGAGGTCTCAGCTGCTCCTGGGGCCACCAGCCCTCTCACTGCTGACCCACGTGAGGACCAGCCCTTGCTGCTGGGCAAGGCAGCCAGAACATCCCTGTGGCTCACCTGGCATTGTGGAGCAGCACAGGGTGATGTCAAATCCCACCTGATGGCCCATGAACCCTTGGGGACACTGTCACAGCCCCTTGTGCCACCCCAGAGCCTGCCCTGCCTGCTGCCCACGGCTGGGGCTCCTCCTGGGGGCTTCTCCATAGCCCCCATCCCCAATCTAGCCCTGGAAGTGTTGCATTCCCCAGCTCCCAGCCTGGGGTTATTTAGCTCTTCAGGCAAAAGAAAGGTTTCTTCTGCTCCTGTCTCACTTGGAGCTGCTGTCTGCAGCCATGTCCTTGTTTTCTCCACGGGTATTCATTGATTTTCTGCAAGAATCTGGCCTGA